AGATGCGATTCTTTTTTCTTTTGTAGTACTGTGCTATGTCCTGGCATTTTTGTTTTTTGTTTTAACTAGTTTTGAAACAGAGTTGTCCAAAATGGGCGTGAACTTGAGATCCTCCTGCCTCAGCCTCCTAGAGTGCTGGAATGACAGGCGTCTGCCCACATGCTGGCTAGTGGAATTTTCCCCATGAATGTGCTTGATCCATGGTTGGTAGAATCCATGGGTAACGAGTGCCAACCACACCAGGTTAGTAGTGACAGGGACAGCTGGGCCTCACCATGTCCCGGGTGTGGCCTCAGGTGTCCACACACATGAATACATCCTGTCCCACAGCCCCCCTGTGTGGGTCCCCTTTGACTAAGGAGACAGGGGACCAAGAGCTGAGGCTGGGCTGGGGTGCCCCAGGGGGTGAGCACAGGTGCTGTGACAGAGCCCCACCAGATGGCGGGGGCATGTTGGAGCTGAGACCCCAGGGACCCAGAGCTGGCCTTTGAAAAGAGGCTGCTGGCCAGTGTGGTACACACGCTTGTCATTTCAGTGCCCAGGGGGCTGAGTCAGGCGAGTGACAAGTTCGAATGCAACTAGGAACTTAGCAAGACCGTCTGAAAATAAAAATGTAAAGGGGCTGGGGGTGTGGCTCCATAGTGAGTATTTGGCTGGGATTCCGAGGCCCTAGATTCCATGCCTAGCACCACAAAGAGTGAAAGGGAGAGAGAAGGAAAGAAGGATGGAAAAGCCCAGCTAGCCAAGTACTGTACAGTCTCACTCAAGTGCACAGCAAGTCCAAAGCATAGCAGTGGAGAGTAGAGCCGGGTCCCTAGGGCTGGTGGGAGCTGGTCCAGGAGGAACGTGGCTACAAGGTGCAGACTTGCGGGCTGCGTCTGTAGGCCCAGCTCCTTGGAGGTTCAGTGGGAGGTTTCTGAGCCCTAGGGTGCACAGTTGGCCTGGGCGACATAGCCTTGTTCCCCACCCGTCGAGAGATTAATTAATTAATTTGAAAAGCCAGGTGGGAAAAGGACCCCTGTGCAGACACAACCCAAGTGCCCCCCAGCCTGCCCACTGACATGGTGGAAGGGTATTTGGCCATAAAAGGAGTGGTGCACTTCCCAAGCTACGCCCTGGGGGCCTGGAAACTTTCAGCAGAAAGGACCAACGCCAGACAGGGAAAGTGGGAGTGTAGGAGCCCTTTTATAGGGCAGGACCAGAATGGGCGGGTCTGTGGATCTGTGGCCTCTGGGCTTGGGGGTGGGGAGTGGTCAGTGTGGGACAGGGCTTCTGTCCGGGGCATTAGAAGTGTTTGGAGGCTCAATGGTGCCAAAACAGATAAAACTGTTTGGAAATAGACAATGGTGACAGTTGTACAACACTGAGAATGGAATTCATGTTACTCAACGGTTGTAGGTTGCAAGCGGTTAAAATGGTTCTGTGATTAATGCCGCTGAATTACACACTTAAAAGGGATTTAGGAACCAGGCATGGTGGGACGCACCTGTCATCTCAGTGGCTCAGGAGACTGAGGCAGGAGAATTATAAGTTCAAGGCCAACCTGGGCTACATAGTGAGATTCTGACCCCCCAAAAAAGGAAAAAGGAAACCCAAGTGATTTAGGGGCTGAAGGTGCAGCTCAGTGATACAGTATGTGCTTAACATGTGGGAGCCCTAGCTTCCTTCCCTGGCACAAAAATTTTTTGAAAGCACTTTGAGCCAGGCCTGGTGGCGCACACCTGTAATCCCAGCACTCGGGAGGCTGAGGCAGGAGGATTGCTGTGAGTTCGAGACCAGCCTGGGCTACATAGTGAGTTCCAGGTCAGTCTCAACTACATAATGAGACCCTGTCTCAAAACAACAACAAAAAGCACTATGGTTAAAACCATCTCATAATTTTATGGTTTTTTTCGATTTTATAATTTTTAATTTTAGGTGACCAAGGGATCTCACTACATAGTTCAGGCTGGTCTTGAGCTCACTATGTAGCCCAGACTGGCCTTGGTCCTCCTGCCTCAGCCTCCCAAGTTCTGAGATTATAGGCATGCACCATCATGCCCAGCTACTGTGTTATAATTTCTAAAAACACAAAGATTCTGAGTGCTGAGGTTCTGAGGCAACAAGGAGGGCAGTTGGAAGTGGCCAGTGCCTGTGACCAGAAGAGCAGCCTCGAGTACAGATCCAGGTTGTTCTAGAAGTGTTGACAGAAGCAGGACTCCTGAAGTGCATTGAGGGGTGGGGACAGGCAAGCCACAGCCAGATGTGGTGGTCTACACCTGTCGTCCCAGCACTCTGGGAGGCTGAGGCAGGAGGATTGCAAGTTTTGAGTCCAGTTTGGGCAACTTTGTCTCAAAATAAGAAATTGGAAGAGGGCTGGGATGCAGCCCAGTGTGAAGGCCCTGGGTTCAACCCCCAGTACAGGAAAAAAGAAAGGATTCTGACTCCTAGGTTTGGGGAAAGTTTGTACAGCGGTGAGGGCATCAAGGTGTCGGGAGACCCTCTAGGAGGTATAGACAGCAGGGTGAAGCGTCTGGAGGAACGTATACTGCAGACAAGGTCACAACCACTTAGCTGGTGGGGAAGACCTTTTCAGGTACAGCACTGCAGGAGGCAGGGCCCCTGAGCAAGAGGGAGGCCCCGTGCTGCTGTGCTGTACTCACATGGCCCCCAGGAGCAGGGCCCCAGCCAGGTCTTCCTGCTTCATGTCCTGTTGCCTTAGTGGCTGGAGTACCTGGCAGAGGGCAGCCACCAGCCACTGGCCAGGGTAAGCCACCTAGACCCGAGGGGCAGCAGAGGCTTGGGAAGATGGAGCGTGGAGGAGATGCAGCCCCAGTATAAACCCTGTCAGGGCTGGGTATGGTGGTGCACTGTAATCCCAGCACTCAGGAGGCAGAGGCAGTAGGATCGCTGTGAGTGTGAGACCAGTTTGGGCTACGTAGTGAGTTCCAGGTCAGTCTCAACTACAGAGTAAGACCTTGTCTCAAAAAACAAAAACAAAAACAAAGCCTGTCAGATGACAGTGCCCTGCAGATGTCCTGCACCCGCCCCAGGGTGGCCAAGGAGTTGTAGAGGGGCCTTCTGGGCAGGTCCACCTCAGAGGATGGAGGTCTGGGGGTGCCTGGCCCCTTCCCTCTTTAGCCTAAAGGGCCCTTTTGATCTAGCAGGAAAAGCCAATCCTATATAGAAATGTAATTCCTGAGGTGTTGGGAGCACAGTCAGCCATGGTGGCCCTCAGCAGCCGAGACGGGAGGATTGCTGCAAGTTCCAGGCCGGCCTGGACTACGTAATAAGACCTGTCTCACAGAAGAACAAAAAGGGGCCAGGGATTTAGCTCTTGTTTCACTGCCTGCCTCGCAAGTACAAGGCCCCAAGTTTGATTCCTGGTACAAACAAACAAAAAAAAAAACAAAAACCTGGAAGGAGTCAGCAAGCCTGGCAATGCCAGATCCCCACTGTGAGGGCCGTGGAGAGGGCTGGGAACACGGTACTCTGACCCACGCATCCCTTGAGCCTGCAGCCTGAGTGGATGGTGTCTGGGGGTGCTCACCTGGTGCTGTTGGGCCCCGGTTGTGGGTGATGGGTGACACAGTGGAGGCAGAGCCTGTGGGACTGGCTGACAGAGCTCATGAAAGAGACCAGAGAGGTTCAGAGTTGAGGTGGATTTTGAGATTTGAGAGTCATTCAACAAATTCATAACAGTATGTCTGTGTCCGGCCTGTTCACAAAGTAGGGATATAATGAACAGAACGCCCTGGTCCCTGTGGGAGGGAAATCTGCATACCAAGAACAGTTTTATTTGAACAAAGGCCCGATGAGGCTGGCTATGTGGGTAATCTATGGACGGACGCTGCATACACAGGAGGAGCCTGGTAGACACGGGGTTGAGGAGCTAAGTAGGCCAATCAGGCTTCATAGGAGCTTTGAAGTTTTCGGGGAAAAACATTAGTTGGGGCTGTGTTGAGATTGAGCACTGGATATAGGCGCTATAGAAAGTTTGGCGTTGTGAGTGTGATGGTAGCCACTTGTAATCCCAGCACTTGGGAGGCCGAGGCACAAGGATCACTCTGAGTTTGAGGCCAATGTGAACTACGTAGTGAGACCCATCTCACAAAACAAAACAAAATAGGACATTTGGTATTGAGACCTAGGGACTGGCTGGCTTCCTGCCTTGGAGGATCCTTTCTGGAGAATGGGGGTCTTCACCCAGTTCCTGACCAGGTAGACGGTGCTGGGCCAGCGCTGCCCCTGGAGGGCCAGGTGGGGTACAGCAGAGGCCTGAGGGCAGTGTCTGCTGGCCAAGCTCAAGTGTCCAGGGGAGCGGAGGCAGCACTGAGGTGATAGGAGCAGCCACAGGGGACGAGGATGCCAGCAAAACCAAGTCCTGTGCCTGTGGAGCCACTACCCCCTGGATGGAGCCCGCAGGGCTGGGGACACAGGCAGCACTGACTGCCCCCAGTCCCCAGGGTCAGCACCTCTTCCTGCCCCGCCTGCCTGTCTCCAGCTCACCCCGAGGGCTGCCTGGAAGGGAAAGAGGGGACTTGGTCCCTGGTCCCTGATCCATGGTGCCAGTCAGCTGGGTTCTAATGAGCTACGGAGCAGGGAGACAGGAAGCAGGGGGCCTGGGGCCTGGGGGCCTGGGGGCCTGGCCTCCTGGCCTCCTGCCCGAGCAGGCACGCCTGGGTCCCCCACCCCAGGGACATCTGTGCCTCACCTCCTGGTGGGGCGAGGAGGCTGGGCAGGATCAGGTGTTAGGGGTGCAGGTGGACACTCGGCAGCTGTGCCGTCCTGGTGAGGCTCAGGTGGGGAAAGGCAGCCACCCTTTTGGCCAGAGGTACCCTACCCGGTGGGGGCCTGGATGTGGAAGTGGGGCGGCCTTGGCCCAAGGGACCAGCTGCTTCCCTGGATGACAGATGGGAGCTCTGGACGCCGGCTCTTGGGCCGCAGGATGGAGCCCCGTCCTCTCGTGGGCTCCGCCGGGGACGTTCTGTGCTGCCGCCTCACCTCTGTGTCCTCCTCAGGTTGGTGGGCCAGGCTGTGGTGCCCACCCGGTGATGAGGGCCAAGGCTCCTCACACAGGCCACTGAGAGCCGCACGTGCCCCTGGCCGCCACCATGGCCCGCCTGGCTGCCGTGCTCTGGAGTCTCTGTGTCACTGCCGTTCTGGTCACCTCGGCCACTCAAGGTAGGTGCTGCTGGGACCTCTGTCGGGCCAGGCCGGAGGGGCCTCCCGCCCTCTTGTACCCCGTGTAGCTGGCCAGGCCAGGCCTTCCTGGGGGGTCCATTTTCTCCTTTCCTCTCCCCCATCTTTCTTTCTCTCCCTCACTCTGTGATTACATCTCTGAGGCTCTCACTGGGAGGAAGGCTTAATTAAGGCATGCCCGCTGACGTTTATTTAAAAACAACTAATTACTCAGCGCAGCCCTGTGCTGGCCTGGGATCCGGCACGCGCCACAATTAGTGCCCCGAGCCTGCCCGCCCACCCAGCCGATTACTCAATTACTGTCCCCACAGTGGGCACAGGCAGGGCAAGGGCAGGGTGAGGAGAGAGCCCTAGCGAGGGGCCTGCTGGCTGCGCCCTCACCCAGGCTGCGCTCCCTGCGACTGCCGCCCTGTCACTCCCCAGGCACCCCCTCTGCAGCCCTGTCCTTGCAAAGCCATGAAGGTAGGAGGACTTGTCCAGCCAGGCCCTGGGGCCTCAGCACTGCTGGGGTGGCTGGGAGCCTGATGCCAAGTTCTCTGCCCACCCAGATCTACCCAGGCCCCAGCTGGGCGGGAGGAGCTGCTCCCACCCCCAGACCCCCCCAAGCCAGCCCTCCGCCCCCGGCTCTGTGCTGCCGGGAAAGCTAAAATTAGTGGGGAAACAGATGGTGCAAGAGGAGCGCATGTCAAACTTTCTCTGTCTGGGACTTGACTCACCCCAAAAAACCCCAAGGGCTTAGCTGCATAACTACTGGGGTCTTACCAGAGGGACCGGATCTCCAAAAAGGGGGTATCCTGCCCTACTTGACCCCCATATGAGGAAATAGTGTTCATAAAAGCAAGAAGCAGCATTTAGCTAGAGTGGTAGTGCATACCAGACATTTCAGCACCCTGGGAGGCTGAGGCAGGAAGCTGCAAGTTTGAGCCCAGCCTGAGTAACTTAGCCAGACTCTGTCTCAAAATTTTTTTTAAAAAAAGTCATTCTTTAGGGTCTGGAACCCTTGCAGTACAGCCATGGGCAACAGCTGGGGAGGGTACTGCTACTGCCTGCCCGAATTCAAGCACAGGTCAGAAATCACCCAGTGGCATGGAGTCTACAGAGGCTCCTGGCCTGGACCCTGATGTGGCAGGCCCAGGGCGTCCCCCAGGCTGCCATTACACCTGCCCTGCTGGCCAGGGGGCAGTAAAGCCCATGGTAGCTTCTAGAAACCTGAGTGTGTTCCCGAGCTCCCTCTGTTCCTTGGTTGGCACGGTGTGACGCCAGGGAGGTCTCCAAGCCTCTCACCTCCCCACGCTGGAGCTGCCGGAAGCCAGTATACTCAGTCATGGCGATGGCGGCGAAAGCCTCAGGTTCGGTTCAGCTTGGGGCACAGGCACTGGGGTCGGTTCCGGAAAGTTCCACACGTGGGTCTCACAGTTATCCCCACCCAGAGGGCCACAGACAGCATTGACTGTCCTGGTGGCTTTCGGCCAGCCGGGGATGCTCATGTCACATGGGCATGGCCGAGCACCGGCCCCGAGCCCCACCCTTCCCTACTGTGGGGGACTTGTCTGCTGCAGCCTCTGTCACAAAGCGTGCCAGACACACGCTGGCCCACGGTCCTGCAGTCCAGCATCAGGATGTTGCCGGGCTGGTGCCTTCCGATGCTCTGTCCTTGGCTTAGGCATGACCACTTCCTCTCTGTGTCTGCGTGTGGTCCCTCTGGGATGGGTCTGTGTCCAAATCTCCCTCACCATTTTTTCATGTGTGTGTGGGACACTGGAGATTGAATCCAAGGCCTCTGCATTGAGCTATATCCCCAGCCCTATTTTATCTTATTTATTTACTTTTTTTTTTTTGGCATACTGGGGATTGGACTCGGGTCCTTGCACTTATGAGGCAGGCGGTGGAACCACTGAGCTAAATCCCCAGCCCTATTTATTTACTTTTAATAGTAGTAAAGTTTTATTAAAAGTAGGAAAAGAAACAGGCTCTGCAGAATGAGTTTGGGCCAGAGTAAGGGTGGGCCACCATGTAAAAGCGAGCACAGTGACCCTCTTTTATATATTTTAATATTCAGGCAGGGTCTTCCTAAGTCTCTTGTCTTAGTCACATTTTCATCACTGGTATAAAATACACAACACCCACAACTTAAAGGAGAGATTTATTTGGTTCACAGTTTCCATGGGTTTAGTCCATATTTGGGTAACTTCCTCTTAGAAACCGCATGGTAGAAGGGTCTAGGTGAACAGCTCTTACAGCATGGCAACTGGGGGAAGAAAGGAGGAGCCAATGAGGGAGATACACCCTTCCAGGTCATGCCCTAGCAACCCAACTCTTTTTTAAAAAATACATTTTATTTTATCCCATTCCCTCCCTCCCTATGTACAAAAGCTTTGTTTCAGGCAGGGATTTAGCTCAGTGGTGCCACCACCTGCCTCACAAGCACAGGGTCCTGAGTTCAATCCCTGGTACCAAAACAAAAACAAAAACAAAGGCTTTGTTTCCTTTTTTTCCCAACCCAACTCTTCTGACCCAGGCCCCATCTCCTGACAGCACACTCAACTGCTGAACGCACCAGTGGATGAATCCACTGAAGAGTTCAGTGCCCCAGGTTCCAACCACCCTCCAGAAGTCCAACCTCTGAGCTTACCAGAGTTTTGGGAAACATTCCAGACCAAACTATAACAATCACAATGCCCAGGCTGGGCTTGAGTTTAGGATCCTCCTACCTCAGCCTCCCAGAGTGCTGGGATTATAGGTGTGCACTACCATGCTCAGCTCAAACCCCTCTCTTTATAAGAGCCCCAGCTGTATTGGCTTGGGGACCACGCTGATGGCCTTGTTTTAACTCTGTTACCTCCAGACCTCATCTTTGTGTATGTGGAGCACACACCTGTAATCCCAGAAATTTGGAAGTCTGAGGCAGAAGGATCAAAAGTTCAAGGCCAGCCTGAGCAATTTACTGAAATCCTGTCTCAAAGTAAATTTTTAAAAAGGGTTGATGGCCGGGCGTGGTGGTGCACGCCTGTAATCCCAGCACTCTGGAGGCAGAGGCAGGAGGATCGCTGTGAGTTCGAGACCAGTCTGGGCTACATAGTGAGTCCTGGGTCAGTCTCAACTATACAGTGAGACCCTGTCTCAAAAAACAAACCAAAAATAAGCAAACAAACAAACAAATAAAAATTAAAAAAAAAAAGAGTTAAGGGGGCCAGGAATGTAGCTCAGCGGCACAGTGCCTGCCTGGCAAGTGCAAGGTCCTGAGTTTGATTCCCGGTATCTAAAAAAAAAAAAGTATAGGGGCTGGGGATTTAGCTCAGCGGTTCGGTGGCCTGCCTTGCAAGCGCAAGGACCCGAGTTCAATCCCCGGTACCAAAAAGAAAAGTACCAAGGGTGTCACTCAGTGGTAGAGTGTGTGTGAGGCCCTGACTTCCGTCCAAAGTGCTGCAAATGCAGGACCTCCAAATACAGTTGCTCACTGAGGGACTCAGGCAGGAATTCAGCACGTGAACTGAGGCGACACAAGTCAGCCTGTAAAACTTGGCAGAGAAGATGAGGGGGCATAGCCAAGGCCCGCAGGACAGATGTGCTCTGTCCCTTTCTTGCTCTCTGTGCTGGCCTCCTGCATATGAGGCAAGTGCTCAATGCTGAGCTCTACCCAGCCCCTTGTTAGGCACGCCAAGGGTAAAGGTCAGCCTCTCAGGCCAGGTTACCATCTTTCACACACAGGCAGGCACAGTGAGAAGCCCACGTGGCTCTTAGGACACAGCTGAGCTGGAGACATTGTCCCTTTGGGGCAGCCAAGGGTGACACTGTCCCCACCCTCCCACAGGCCTGAGCCGGGCTGGGCTCCCATTCGGGCTGATGCGCCGGGAGCTGGCGTGCGAAGGTTACCCCATTGAGCTGCGGTGCCCGGGCAGTGACGTCATCATGGTGGAAAACGCCAACTACGGGCGCACAGATGACAAGATCTGCGATGCTGACCCTTTCCAGATGGAAAACGTGCAGTGCTACCTCCCTGACGCCTTCAAGATTATGTCCCAAAGGTGAGCAGCCCTGGGCACCCTGGGCTGTGCACTCTGTCTACCCTTCAGCTCCCTTTTATGCATGTGATGCCTATTTCCTGGCACCTACCAGGTGCTGGGCCCTGGGCAGACAGCAGATACAACCTAGCCATCTCCCCCACGCTGGCCTTGTCTCCGGCACCGACTTGGACCTGACACACAGCCTGTCCGTCCCCACCTGCCGTCACTCCCGGAAGCTCGATCGAGGCTGGCAGGGTGGGTGACACAGTGAGGGAGTTGTGGAAACAGAGAACCCTCTGTGCCAATTATGAGAGGTGGTAGGCTTCCCCCAGGAGGGGACAGCCACACACAGATGACAAAAGTGTGTGAGCATGTAAGCAAGCGACTGTGTGTGTCTCTATCTGCGTGTTTGTGTGTTGCACTGTGTCGTGTTTTGCTTTCCAGTGCTGGGATGATGAACCCGACACTTGCACACTGAGCTGCATCCCCTGCCCTGTTTTAGAGACAGGGTCTCGCTAAGTCCTTAAGTTGCCCTGTGATCCTCCTGCCTCTGAGTCCCAGAGTGCTGAGATTACAGTGCGTGCCACTGCACCTGACAGTTACATGTTTTCTTTTGTTTTTACTGTGCTGGGGATGGAGCCCAGGGCACCACTGAGCTATATTCCAGCCCTGATTCTGCGTTTAAGTGTGCACTTGTGAGTATGACGTGTGTGTGTGTGTGTGTGTGTGTGTGTGTGGTACCAGGGATCGAACTCAGGACCTTGTGCTTGCACAACAGGCAGCAGAAGCACTGAGCCAAATCCCCAGCCTGAGTATGACTATGTGTATCTGAGCCTTGTAAAGGTGTTTGTGAGTGGCTGTGGCTGTGTGCCTGAGAGGGTAAATGTGTGTCTGGGAGATCTGTGTATAAATGTATTTGTGTGACAGTGATTTGTGTTACTGTGTTTCTAGGTGTCTGTGCACATATGCTCAAGTGACTGGATTGGTTTGGTTTGGTTTTTTGCTTTGTTTGTTTTGTTTCTTGAGACAGAGTCTCACTATGCATTCCAGGCTGGCCTTGAACTCACAGCAGTCCTCCTGCCTCAGCCTCCCAAGTGCTGAGATGACAGGTGTGCGCCACCACCCCTGACTCTTCAGTGCGTGTTTGTAACAGTGTGCTGAGAGTGCGTCTGCAGGTGGTGTGCCGTGCCGGAGTGTGTGGCTGTGTGCCTCTGATGGGGTTGGCGGTGTTGGTGTGTGAGTGCAGCACATGCCAGGCTTAGGCTCCACATTTGGGCTTCAACCTGTCCCTCAGATAACACCAGAGCCTGACCACGGCAGTGTCCACAGCCGCCTCACCCTGACGGCTCCCAGCCCTCTGGGCTGCTGCAGTGCACCCTCCCCACACAGCCAACTGGCGCTCGTGAGCCCCCTCTGCATAGAGCCCTCCATGGCTTCCACCTGCCTTGGGCAGAGGCCCTGCACGAGCTGTTCACCACTACCCTAACCTCCAGCTCCAGCCATGTGTCTGTTCCTTACACATTGGAGCCTCCTCTGAGCCTTGCCCTCGCTGTTCCCGCTGCCTTTGATGCTGTTCCCTGCCACCCCAACGGCTCCCCTATCATTTGTGCCCGTTCCCCTAACTGTCCCCTCTGTGGCACCTTTCTGAACTCTAAAATAGCAGCTTCTGGTTTCCTGACTGCTTTCGCACTGTCACTGCTGACCCTGCCTGTTGTCCACATTCCCATCAGATGTTGTCCCTGGGAATGGTGTTCATTGTATGTCTTCCTTCACTGGGTGCTTAGCCCCGCAGGGACAGGGAGCTCTGTCCCCTGCTGTTGTGTCCTTGACCAGGGACGTGGCAGGCATTCATGAATATTGCCGAATGCCCAGGACATTGCAGAGTCTGCTCCAGGACCTGTAGCACAGGAGAGAGGAAGGAGGCTGGGGACAGGGGGTACCATGTGCCTCGGGGGTTTCAGGCAGGGGACAGATGTCCTTAGGTGGCTGAGACAGATGGGCTGGGCTGGAGCTGCCAGCCCCTCTGCCAGCATCAGTCATACCCTCTTGACACCCTGGCCCCCTCTGCAAAGTGCTGGGACTGAGGAGCTCAGTTCGTGGAGCTAAGGGAGCACCGTACAGCCTCCACCCTGCTCCCTGGGTGCAACCTCACTGCTCCCTGCTACTTCTGCCAAGATCCGGAAGCCCTCTGTAATAGTCAGGGCTATGGAGACTGCTCTGCTAGAGACACCCAGAACAGCTGAGCTCAACTCCCATCAGAGGTGAGGAGATTCCTGTGTAGGCTTCACCTGGCTGTCGCCCTCCCAAGCCCAGCCCTTTAAAGTCACATGCCCTGCCCACTTTCACCTCTGACCAGACCTCGGCCACCTGCACTGCTAACTCCTAACTCACAGCCCATCACCTCATTGGCCAGAATTTGGCCATATGCACTTCCAGTGCCGGAGGTGGCTGGGATATGAAGTCTGCAGCCTAAGTCCAGGGAGTGGTAGATTGTTCTGGTTTGCTTTCTTGTTTAATTTTTTTTCCAGTACCAGGAATTGAACTCAGCACCTTGCATTTGCCAGGCAGGTGCAGCACCACTCAGCTATATCCGCAATGCCTGCTTTCTTGTTTACTAAGATGACAAGAGCCAGGTGTGGTAGTGTGAGCCTGTAATGTCAGCACTCTGGGAGGTTGAGGCGGGGGTGGGGGTGGGGTCACACAATTGAGCAGAGCCTGGGCAATGTAGCATCTAAGCCAGGCCTTGTTACACACACACACACACACACACACACACACACACACACACACACACACGAACAGGGCTGAGGATGTACCTCAGTGTTGTCTCACAGACAACAACAAAAAGGGACATAACACACCATAATATCGTGCTTATTATTTGTGGTGCTGGGGATGGAACCCAGGACCTTGTACATGCTAAGCAGTTGCTGTACTACCGAGGCACACCCCGAGCTCTGGTTTGTTGTTGTTTGTGGCATTGTGATACTGGGAACTGAAGCCAGGGAGTGTGACTCACGCTCACTCGTACTCTCTCTCTCTTCCTCAGAGCCTTTCCATTGAGAGCTACATCCCCAGGCCTTTTTATTTTCAGACAGTCTTTCTAAGTCACTTAATGGCCCAGGCTGGGTTTGAACTTAGAATCCTCCTGCCTCAGCCTCTCTCAGTGCCGCAGTTACACTTGTGCACCCCACCTGCTTTATGTTTCATTTTGAGTCAGGGTCTTGCAAAGTTGCCCAGGCATGATTCAAACTTATGATCCTCCTCCCTCAACCTCCCAGGTGTGGAGATTACAGGCATGTGTCGCTGCGCCTGGCTGTGCACTGTTTATTTTTAAATGATTAAAATGAACCATTTTAAAGCAAACATATTCCTTGACATTTAGTACATTCACAATGTTGTGCAACCACCAACTCGACTTAGTTCCGGAACATTCCATTACCCCAAAAGGAAAGCACATACTCTTTAGCAGTTGCTTCCCTCAGCCATTCATCTGCTCACTGTCTTTGTGGACTTGCCTGTTCTGAATAGTTCGTGGAAACAGAGTCATACACTGTGTGGTCTCTTGTGTCTGGTTTCTGTCATGCAATACCAATGTTGAGGCTTTTACAGCATGAAGCAGTACACTGTTCTTCTCTAAGGCCAAGTAATATTCTGTCTCAGGCACAGGCCACATCCATGCCAATCCCCCTGGACTTTCAGGCTGTCACCCCCTGTTGGCGGATGTGGGCCGCACACCTCTGAACACAGGTGTACGGGATTTGCTTCGACTCTTGCTTTCAGTAGTCTTGGGTGCCCACCTAGGAGTGGGATCACTGGGTCGCATGGTGATGGTTCATCTTTGGAGGCCAATGCTGCACTGTTAAGAGAAGTGGGGGGTGGGGGGTATAATCAGGCCCGCACTGTCCCTCTCTACCTCCCAAACCCCACCATCCCTTGCTCTCTGTGTCCCCAAGAGATTCTCTGCCCTTTCTGGAGTTCTTGTACTCAGCACTTAGCACTCCCCAGTTAGGGCAGGACTGAAGGCGAACCCCGGAGCACCTCTGGATTTCTTCCTGACACTGGTGTTCACTTTGGCCTGCTCCAGGGTATGGGAGCGATGGCTAAGGGGAGTCCCCGTTCTGTGGCTGTTCCACAAGCCCCCTCTGTATGCCAGCCAGGCCCCTGAGAAGCTGCCAGGGCCCCAGGCTTCCTGTGGGGAATCGGTAATCCTGACTGTGCTGCATCCCGAGGGCGGGAGGTGTGTGTGAGGAAGTCCGAGGTGGCCTCACTGGCCCCTGCGAGCTAGTGGATAGAGGTTCGCCAACTCGCCATGTCACACACGTTTCTCTTCCGTGAACCTTTGCAGGGGCCCTAAAGTCAACTAAAAGAAAATACCAGGGACCTAACAGCATTGGTGCTCGGGGTGAAAGGAGGGACAGCTGCTTATGGGGTGATGCTACCGTCCCAGCCCCGAGGGGATGCAGAGCCGAGGCTCAGTGGGAGAGGGACAGGCAGGTGGAAGACGCCACCCATGCCCACCCTTTGGCCCTGGTCCCCAGTGCCCTGCTGCCTTCCCAGTTTGGGGTACCTGTTCCTCTCCCAACCCCGCAGCCCCCAAGACCTATGTCCATCTTTCCCAGATTCCTTTCTCTCCCGCAGGTGTAACAACCGTACCCAGTGCGTGGTGGTTGCTGGCTCCGACGCCTTTCCCGACCCCTGTCCCGGGACCTACAAGTACCTGGAGGTGCAGTACGACTGTGTCCCCTACAGTGAGTCCTCTTGTTCCTCTGCGGGTGCGGGCCCTCTCCCACGTTGCAAGCGAGGAGGAGACACCTTGACCCAGCACCCGTGGGTCCCATGCATGGGGCCTGCCCGGGCCTCACACGCTGTGCTCCCAGACACACTCGTGCACACCTGGTGCCTGCTGTCCTGCCTCACAGACGGTCCCTCTCCACAGGGCACACCCACCTCACTTCTCACACACCCTCGCTCGCCGAGCCCCTTGAAGGCCGCACTCCCGTGCTCTGCTTGCGTACATCTCCTCTCAGCCTTGCTGCTTCTCTGACCCCTCTGCCTCGCTGCTCTTACACTTCAGTTTCTAACCCCACACCAGCTCCTCCTCAGTCCCCCGCCCTCGTCCAACTCCCTGCCCTTTCTCGTGTCTCCTCACACTCCCACACTCTGGCCTCTTCCTGTCATGGAGTCTGGACTGTACTCCCCCTAGAGAGAGGCAGACCACCCTCTCAGGCCTGGTGGCAGAGTCGGTGTGAAGGGCTGGGGGGGCACTTCTGTCTGCAGAGGGAGGACCACCATGTTGGACTCGAGAGTGGCCCCCAGCAAGCGGAAGGTGATCTGGGGAGCCAGAAGCCTGGCTGTCCTGTACCTAGCCAGGGAGAGCAAAGACAAGGTCTCTCCTCCTCAGCAGCCTGTCCTTAACATCACCCTTTGTTCCTGCCCTTTCTCGTCCCCTTACTCCCCACGACCCCTTCTGTCCTCCCCACCTGGCTTCTGCAGCCCACCTGGAGGTAGGGCCTCCAGGCAGGCGGGGAGGGAGCAGGGCCACGAGGGTGTCCGAGAGAAGGGGCAGGGGAGCAGGAGACCTTGTAACTCCCCCTCCTTTCCTACCCCAACATACCCTACCCCCACCCCAACCTTTGATTTCTCCTCTCAGGTGACAGTGACACAAGGATCCCTCAGTCGTGGAAAACAGGATTGCTTGTGTGCTTCCATAACGTCCTTCTTTTAGTCCTTGCCCTTTCCTTGCAGTGCCTGAGGCCTCCACTACCACCTGAGGGGACGCCCATGTACTACCAGAAGCCTCCCTACAGCACTGGGGACACTGCCCACCTCGCAGCAGGGGCAGCAGTGGGGAAGCCGGGAGGCCGCGAAGGAGCTAGAACACAGGGAAGTTGGGTGGGCATAGGCTTCATGGACTCTTAACTTTTGTGGCTCTGAAACCCGGAGCAAATGATCTAATTTCTCTGGGCCACTGCAGAGGGCGGCACGAGCCTGGGAGAGCATGTGTGAGGAGCGCCTGGCCCCGGCGCCCAAGCAGATTTCTGCGTGCTGAGCGCAGACCCCTGAAGGCAGAGGCTTGTCCTCATCCCAGCGCCCAGCCCACGCCCAGTTCCAGCTGTGTTCAGGAATGGTATGACGCCCCTTCCCTTCCACTCAGCCACAGGGAGGGAGGGAGGGCCGAACCTGCCCGGATGCTGTCAGGAGTAGAAGGGGCGTGGCATCAGCCGCACAGTGAAGCTTCGCTTCACCGAGCCTCAGTTTCCCCATCTGTAGTCAGGGTTCTCAAAAGACTGCCTGCAAGGTGTCTGGCACAGATCCCAACACCTCCTAAAGTGGTGGATACTTGGTAGTCATTGCTTTTGTTGTGACTACTTATTACCTCCTACCGATTACTATTACTGCGCTGATGATCAAAATAAAAATAGCAACAGATGGCAAATCCAGCTTCTCTGAGGCCAGCAGAAACGGAGCAGGAAAAATTCCCAGGGCAAGCAGATGCTGAGCAGGTACAGAGCAGAAGAGAAAGTGTTGCAGGGCCAGGGAGGAGAGGACTTAGAGACTTCCTGGGCCACAACTTAAGAGACCCAGAGGGCTCGGGGACAGTGGCAGGACAGTGCAGGGGACGGTGGTCCCCCCTGGTGGGAGTGAGCCCTTTTTTTGGGGGACAGGACACCCATAATTGCACACACGCTAGGGATGTGCTGGGTAGGAAGAGCTGTGGGCTGGGCTGCTCTAGCTCCTGGCCCACAGAAGAAGGGGGCTGAAGTTGCTAGAAGACAGGGAGGCCCGGCAGGTGTCCCCCAAACATCCCCTGAGCACTCTGAGTGCCAGGCTGGGCGAGGCGCTGGGAAGGGAGCCTGTGCTAACCCTGCCAAACTCCCCCTTCCACTCGGGCCTTTCCGGTCACAGAGCCTTGGGGGGTGCTTCAGAGGCTGGGGTGACCCCAGTGCTGGGGAGGGTGGGTCTGGGGTGGGGGGCAGGGCCTCCCAAGGAGAGGGGCACTGGATGTGGGGCCCCCAGATGCTGGACTAACGCTGGATTTGCTTTACAGCCGAGCAGTCTAACCGGGCCTCTTCCTCCCCCAGGTGCCACCCATCAGGGCGGTGGGCAGGGCAGGCGCAGATGTGGGCTCCTGGGTCCCAGGGTGGGAGGCTGGCCCGGGGGCTGAGGTGTTAGTGTGTGTGCGTGCGCATGTGTGTCCTCACCCCCACCCGCACTGTTGCCTCTGTTGGTCTGTCTGTGGCTCTGTTTGTGTCCTCCGGGTGATGAGGGCTCCTGAAGGGTGAGGGGGGCACAGCTGGACCTGGGAGAGGCCAGCGGAAGGGAAGTTCAGCCTTGCTCTTGACTGGGAGGGGCGCCCAGGCCGGGAGAACTGAGCCCCTTTCCCAGGAGATTCCTGCACTCCCCACTCCTGGTTCCCTCCCTGGCAGAGCCCCTTCAGCTGGGGCTCCGTCCTGCTGCCTGTGTCCTGCGTGTCCCTCGTCTCCCCCTCCTGTGTGTCCCCTCTCCCCCGACTGTCTCCCTGGCACCCTGTGGCCCCACCCTACCCCAGAGGAAGGGACTTGGGGGCGGGCGAGCGGATGCTGCGGAAAGGGTTGGGGAAGCAGGAGCAAGGAAGGAAAGGAGAAGGGGGCGTGTGGCCAGAAAAGAAACGAAAGCAATTTAATCTCTTTTTTTTCTCTTTTTTTCTTGCACATTTTTTTTTCAATTTGTTTTCTCTCTCTCTTCCGATGCTTAAAGTAGAAGTGGAGCAGAAAGGTAAACGCACTGTTACCAATGCTAACCCCTAACTCACACTTTGTTCTACCTGTACCATACTCATGTGACCCACCTCCTGGCCCTTCTCCCCACCCACTCGGTCCACCGGGGCCCTGGTGTGGCCACGGCCATGGGCATCCCCACCCTCCAGACAGGAGGAAGCTCTCTGAGCTGGGGCAGGGCTCTCCCTCCCTCCCTCTTTTCTCTCTCTTTTCTCTCTCTCTCCTCTCTCTCCCTCCCTCTCTCCCCCCCCTTCCCACCCCCTCCCTGTCCCTTGTCCCTTGTCCCTGGGCCTTGCGGGGACCCAGCTTTCCAGCCTTTCTCTCACATTTGCCTCCTTCAGGAGCGAGTGTAAGGGGAGGGAGGGACTCCCTTCCCGGCCCCCACGGGCATCGGGTGAGCTGTCTCTTTCTCTCCTCTCTTCCTCCTCTCCCCTCGCACCTTTTGCAACCAAGTTCCCCTTTCAGGGGAGGTGGGATGGGGGGGCACCCTTGTTTTCCTTCTGGGGAGCAGATCCCTCCTCTCTTGGGCTCCAGTGGCCTAGTTCTTCTGGTGTGGCGTTCCGAGGCCCAGAGCTGTGTGGAGTACCGCCCCCCACTCCCTTCCCCAGCAGGTCCTGGAGGGACACCCGCTGTCCCGGCCCTGGGGGTCGTGGGTGGGGTGGGCTCCT